TAGAGATGTTTGAGTTGACTCATCTAATCATATCCACCGATTTGATTTTTAGGGTGAATTCGGAAGCAATTTTTGAGAAAAACGACCTTTTAAACTTACTTTCTGCTAATAATTAAACAATAAATTTTAGCTTAAATTATTAAACTTAATTTAGTGTAGGTATTGCAATATTCTACCGGGTGTTTCAAAAGTTCCACTATTGGTCCCTATATTTTCAGTGACCTTATATACATATTTGTATAAATAATTATCGTAATCTCTATATATAAGGTCTCGCCATTAGTTGTGTCTTGATGAGCTCTACAACTTTACTTAAAGCCCTAACGGCAGTTTACTTAGTAAGGAAAAGTTTTAGATACTGAAAAAATAGGGACCAGCAGTGGGACTTTTTGAAACACCCGGTATATACTTACCGTTGGCCACTGCCTACAGTACCCAGGGTCTTATTCAAGAACTTCACTTTTAAAATTGAATAGTACCCATGGGTACTGTGTGAAGAACTGGGTACTATATTTGGGGATATATCATATGAGTGTCGCTAAAAGAAAACCCGAAAATTTAAATATAAGTCATATATTTAAATTTTTGGCGACACTCATATTAACAGTGATAAATCAATATATTTGTCCCCCCGGGTCTTATTCAAGGAACAAGCCAGTAGGGATGATGAATAATTACCCGGGTCTTAATCATGGAGGGTATTATTTTTGGGGGATACTGTAGTCAGTGGCCAACGGTAATTATGGATTCAAAGTAAGTTTAAAAAACCGTTTTTATAAAAAACTTTGTAATAAATTTTAATGACAAATAATTCTCGATCATGATTAATTTTGGGTCAAACCAAATCGGTCGATATGTTCTACATATATGGTCGACCCGTGTGCCTGAGTTTCACCCGTGTGAATATATGCCCGTTGGTTGATCCGGTGGAGAATCATCTTTTTGCCATGGCTAAGTTTTCACCTAATGCTAGTGAAACTAAATATATATGTATAATTATATAGTTTCAGATTATTCGATTAAATTAATAATAATAATAATAATAATAATAATAATATCACGAAGAAATTATTAAAAACAAGTTATATAATAATGAATTTACTTCTTTTTTTTTTCCTATAAGTAAAAATTATTTTATTAAAACATCAAGTCTTCTAGCAACATAATGTCAATATGATATATGATGTTATATATTTCAATCAAAAATATAAAAAAACATAGTTCTGTAAAAAGTACACACATGTTTATAACATTTTATAAAAAAAAACAGAAATTGAATTCTATTTGGAGGTGTACCTTGTATAGTAGAAAATTTATGAAATGTTACATACGTAGTATATAGAGTAAAAATGAAATACAAGAATATAATAATAATAAAAAAAAACAACTATTTACAACTTTTTACTTTCTTTTTTTTTTTTATATTTATGAATTTTAAGATTATATAACTATGCAGAATGTTAAAAAATATATATAGATAACGTGCCTTAAATTCCTTTTAAGAGTAAAAAAAATGTTTCTTTTGTACAAAAAAAATCACAGAAAGATACACTTCATACATAATTTTTCGTGTAAACCTCTTCAGGTGTAGGTGTTAAACGTTCTTTATAAGAAGGTGGAGAGGTTTCAAGGGTTTGCAGAGTAGTGTTTATTTCCAATTTATTATCCCTTCGATTTTCCGAATTCATAAGTTGTTGAGGGGTTAAATTTGGAGAACGTCGAATGTAAACTTGTTCAGGAGCAGCGTAAGGAGGCAATTTTGAAGAATTGTTAATGGCATTAAGTCTTGAAGGAGATATAGAAGGAGAAGGAGGAAGCACGTTATCATTCATAATAACAGTATTAAGATGAGAAGAATTTGAAGTATTACGAGAGTGAGTGGTAGGAGGAGTAGGTCTTGGAACAGGAACATGAATTCCGGGAACAGGACTTTGACTTTTTTTATTATATAATTGTTGTTGATGGTGAATAGCAGCTATTTGTTGTCTATACCAAAGGTCATTAGAATTTAAAGCGAAACCCTGAGGATATAATTCACCATAACCGTCAAGGCCTTCTTTTGGATTAGGATTATAAACATATTGAGAAGCGCCAACAGTATGAGCTTGTGGAGGATTATGCAGGTTTAATTTGTAATTATAATCATTTTGATAATTTAAATATACAGCGGTGCCAACTTCGTCAGGATAAACAGGATAATAACCTTCAGCATAAGTTGGATATACTTCAGGATGATGAAGATCAGAAGAAGGGATAACCATAGCAGTAGGTTGATGAGGAGGTCTATTAAGATGTTGTGGAATGAGTTGTGGAGAAGGTTGCTCAGGAGAAGGAGTATGAGATTGTATAGGTTTATCATTCATATTCATATTATTATTATTATTATTATTATTATTACTAAATTTATCCTGAATATTAGCGACTCTTACACTTTCTTCAACTTGGAAATCCTCGTTAGCACCCCATAAACAAAATTTAACACAAAATTGATGGGAGATACTAATAAAGCGACCAGAATAGGTAGGTTGAATACTACGAGGGATAAATAAGTTGATAGTATGAGAATAATCACCATCCATATTTTGAGATCTAATTTCTTGACGAGCAATAACCAAAGAGACAACATTTTCTTTAACATGACGAGTTTCATTTGGATTACTACATCTAAAGTCCATACAACTTTTTAGAGCAACTTCAATTCTTTCAACACTAACACCAGGACGTAAGAATCTCATTCTTATAGGAACCGTAACATAAGTACCAAGGTTGAAATTCTTATTAGCAGGTAAAGAAAAAGAATAATCGACACCACTTTTTGATTCACCACGTAGTTTAAATAAAGAAAGATTAGAATTATCTAAAATGATAGTTCTTTTTAAAGGACAATCGACATCAACAATTTGAGTAGAAGAGGACATTAAACCACCTTTACGATGAATGATAGCACGAAGAACATAACTAACAGTACCAACATCCGTAGTAATAGATTCAGGTAAATTATAAGGAAGTTTAATTTTAAAAGGAACATCTAAATTTAAAACTTCTTTATCATTAGATCTCCAAATTTCTTGAGAATGATCAACAACAATTTGTTCACCGGAATAAAGAGCTTTTGTTCTAGCTTGAGCTTTATACCAAGTAGTTTTTTCAGTGCCTTTGAGATTAAGGGTAATATCTTTAACTTGATATTGTTTTCCATAATTTAAGTGTAAAGTACCCACTAAATAACTATCCGAATCACCTAATATTCCTTGTTGAAAAGAAGTATTGTCACCAGCGTAAGAGAAAGAAACACTTTTATGAGATTTAATATATGCGTTTGCGGGAGGACGATTTTTGGCAGTGCTGCCAAAAAAGCTACCCGAATATGTTGAAGCGGTTGGAGAAGATAAAGTGGACATTTTTAAAATTATGTCCTAAATTTTTTAAAATTCTTGAAAATTTAAAAATTTAAAAATTCAAAATTTAGAGAGATGATTTTTTTTTTTTTTTTTAATTAATAAAGGAGGGAAATAGATGGAGGAGAGATGGAGGAGAGATGGAGGAGAGTTAAGGAATGAGAACAACCGAATCACGATAAAAAAAAAACCTGCAAGGATAGAAAGATGGATGTAACCAACTTTTATATATAGAAATGGGGAAACTCTTGTCAAACCAAACCGAAATTAATGAGATGCAAATAAAAATTAAGCAAGGCTCCTGAATAATTCTGTAGTGTAATGAATGTTACAGTTGTGCGCGTACGATTTGTTTTTCGTACTAACGAAAATCTTCGCTAACCACTGAAGAAAATTGTTTAACTTATTTGGTAATTAAAAACTTTTATATAAAATCAAATTGTATTATAAATTGGATATTTTTTAATTCAATATTGACATTATGTTTTTGAAATATTGATAGGAGAGCGCGTTTGAGAAAATTAAATGAAAAGATACCTTCGTGGCATTTATAAATAGTAAATAGGCAATATTTTTCAAGCCTAACGTACCCTTTTACCGATAAATTCTTGATAGTGTATGTATGACCGGTGTAACACAACAGATATCATCACAAATCAATCATATACTAAAAAAAAATGAATTTGACTTTTTTTATTCTCAAAATACGTATCAATTACGATCAATGTTTGAACGAATTAAGATATGTATGTTTTATAATTGTTATAATCGTCAAATACGCTAATATATATTTTATTTATATTTGAGTTTATGGTATTAAATTTCCGATCACAACATTCTATTCGTAACCAAATTATGGTTACCAATTATTTTAGTTTTATTAGCTTGATAATGACAAAATTATATTCCTATAAAAATATATAAAATATATATAATATATACGGTGTACATACGTATTAACGGTAATATTTGATATACTATCAGACTATCAGATACAGTATTATAACTTTATTACATTCTTTTTCCCTCCAAAATTAAAACCCTGAAATTCAGAGATTTTCATTAGTTTCGTGTCACAATCGTGTGTCACTTTAGATAGCGAATGAAGCGATTCAAAAAGAAAAAGCCAAAAATAAAAAAGGATAGGGGGAAACTACGGATGCCTAGTCTTGGCAACATCACACTATCGTTATATGTAAAATGAATTTTTAAATCCGATTATTTATTTCCTACGCAAGACCTAATTATTTACTGTGTGATCATAAAGGCATGTGTTCTTTGTATATAGTATATACATGCATGTGTTCACAATGTGTCGTGTGACGAATAGTGATCAAAAATTTTACGAATTTCAAATTTTAAATTTTGCTATATAAGGAAACTCTTTGTTCTTTAAATAACGTAAAATTTGTGCATGTATACATACGTTACATAGAAATAAAACTTTAAGCATATCTTTCGCAATTAAAATACGCACGTACGAACATACCGATCATACCGATACGGTATCTTACAGCAGTACTTTTGACGTTAACGTTAATTCAAAGATAATAATACTTACGTACGTACGTACCCTATGAATATATTCGTTTCAGGTACGTACGTACGTACATCATCGATTAGATGTGTGCACTTGCATCAATACAGCAATAGGGGCTGCAGGAAAATCGAGGTACGTACGTACGTAAAACTTAGCAAATATATCAATATGTAGGTACGTTTACTATGTGCTAATTATCTGTTTAATGATCTGCTATGTGCAAATACATACTACGTAATTATACTAACTGTTACCTACGTAATTATACTAACTGTTACTAACTATGCGCAATTACATACGTACTTTCTTTGTAAATGCAAATTCTTTATTTCTTTATTAATAAGTTTACCAATGCAGTGTTGAACTGAAACAGGTCATTATTGAGATGTTGTATTATCTCATCAACTTGTATTATATCTAACTGGTCCTTACGATGATACAATGTATAAGAATCGATCGATAATTGTTATTTCAAGGAAGAATCAAGATCGTACGTACGTAGAAACAATGTGTCTAGGTCACTATGTACTGTAACTAAATATCTACTAAATTTGGGAAAAAACAAAATATTATGTTTTTCCTTATAATTTAGGTCATGTATTTACTCGGAAAATTCTGTCATTCTGAGAATTTTCTGTTGATTTTACTTTGTATATATTTTGGATAATCGTTATCTGAACATCTCTTTAATTAAAAAGAAATTGACGACGTATCGGCGTATGTACGTAATACAATTCCAGAATTCGTTACTATCATATGTACTATAGATATTTTTTAATGTATGTACGTACGTACGTACGTATGTAACATATCAGATATCGATAATACATTAAGTTAAAAATATATGCATTCACTATCGGCGAGCTTTAGCGTGAATGCATTAGAGTTGTGCTCCAAGCACAATTACTATATAATCACGATATCGACTTCATTATCGTTATGTTTTAGTAATTCAATAATCCCTTACAACTGAAAGTGTCGCTACACATGTACATATGTACATTAGTACGTACGTACTTCTTATACAAATTTTATTGACAATGAAATGTATGAATATGTATGAATATGCATAAATTATAAATATACCTATAAAAGTAATTATTGAATGCCTTACCTGATTAATTAATTAATGTGGCTAGCTGGCGTGTCTTCCTATTTTGGTTCACACTAATCATTTTACCATTTTCAGATATCGCACAATTTGATATTCAGAAACTTTCATTGAGCTTGTTAATATTTATTATTTATTATCTACAGTATACGTATATAATTATAAATGTTATGATTACACGAGTTTAAAACCAAGAATTCACTTAAATTTTATAATTAGTGATGATTATTCTCTGTTATATATCGATATTGTATATATTTTATTGTATTTTTATTGGTAATAAATAAACTTCGGCGATTGGTTACCTGGCTTATTTGTTTACTATATGTGTTAATCAAAACTTGAAAACTTTACTTCATATTGACTTTTATATATTTGAACATCCTTCTATTCGCTATTCGGTATTCGCTATTCGCTATTCGCTATTAGCCATATTCATTCAACTACATCGTGTGAACGGTAAAATTCCATCGTTATACAAAACTCACGTTTCTAGCGTGTTTGCTTCGCGTAAGAATATTTAGTTGCATTGCATTAAATATTTAGTTTTGTATAACATTAAAGAACAAATTTTATTCATTTTATTTGATTGGTTTTTTCTTTTAAACACATTTATCTTTACAATCTTTTTTTTTCTTTTTTTTGCTATCAAGTATCATAATATTTCATTATAATGTATGCTAACTTTAGAAAATGTTTATTAAAATGTGTGTATTTACATTTACTACTTCGTTATATCTTTTTTTAATGCTGTAGTAGTTGGTGCTTTACAGCATATATGTTATTATCTTTAGCGTTAGCTTATGGTAGTGACATATTGCATATACGTCACTATCGGAATTTTATAGAAAAATTCGACTTGTTGAATGGCAGCCATTTAACCAAATATGTCTAATGTTTTTGATCGTTGGCTGAATGTTGGATTTTTGTCGATTGTTGATCGAATGCAAATATCGAATGACAACCATTCAGCATTTCGAATTTTTTGTTTTGACTAGTGAATACGTAGAAATGACTCTCCAAATGCCTGCACTTATAGTCTTCTCTATGCAATAACTGTAGAATTTACTTTTTAATAACAATATATTTTAAACTTCTTCGTATTTATGTATAACTTTGATAATAAAGTTTTACTAGATTAAAACTTTAAATACAAATTGAATTATAATTTTGTATTTTATAACTACAGTTGATACTGTCTAAATGCATAGCATCGGTGGACACAAAAAAAAATCAATTTTATGCATTTAAACAGTATTAACCAATCAAATACTAGAAAATTTACTGTCTAAATGCATATTACTATTAAATTTTTTTAAAAAATTATGCATTTATACAGTATGCAGTATGCATTTAGACAGTATCAACTGTATATATTTATACAATAAAAAATTCAATAATTTAGCTGCTTGTAATCCTAAAAACTCCACATATATTATATATGGGTCTTTGCCTTGAAAATCACCTTACGACATTTTCCGATCGGGTTAGTGTGTGATTCACATATCAATATAAATACAAACGCAAACTGATATTTTGGTCTGTTTTGTCCGAATTAGCCCGATCGGAAAATGTCGTAAGTTGATTTTCAAGGCAAATACCCCATATATATATATATATATTTTTAAAAAAATTTTAAGCTCGGTTCGAGCTCGGTTCTAAGTTCATGAACATATTCAGGTTCGTAATAAAAATCCATTATCACATTATAATGGATTTAATATATATATGCTATAATCCGCTATAGTGTAATAGCGGTTTTACTACGTAGCAAGGTTATATAATCCGATATAATAGGTCTATAATATTTCAAGTTAGAAATATATATATATTATGTTGTGCCTCAGGTGAGCTCAGGTGTTGATCATTTGGCCGGCATTAACTGATCGACATTAATTGGCCTAAACTACAACCTAATCCTTACCCAAACTCCTAATTTAGGCTGATCGACACCTGAGGCAAAAATTTATATATATTATATATATATATATATATATATATATAGTCGGGAATTTATGTGTAGTTTGATCCCAATTATGATATACCTTCCTAACACGAAATGTTATTTTTCGTTTTGCATTACACGGACAGTGATTTTCTGTGGTGGTTAGATAAGCCTTTTTACCAATTTCTGTGCAATTTTGTGGTGCTATTTTATTCTTTCTGTAATTTAACATGATTATAAATAAAAATTTGGGTATTAGAATTTTTCTAAACCCCCGAGGAACACGCTCGTAATTTACCTTAATTTAGTGTCTACCTTTCCGGGAGTTCCCGACGCCCGGCCTGAATTTATTGGCCAACCCCTACAATATTTTATAATTCTGATATTTTGCATATTTTGTAGAATTC